TGTGTGTGTGTGTGTGTGTGTGTGTGTGTGTGTGTGTGTGTGTGTGTGTGTGTGTGTGTAGGAGTGTGGAGTCTTAAAATGACAAGTTAAGCAAGATTTTAGTGGTAAAATAGGCAAGCTTCAGAAAAATAACTAAAGACGAAATCCCCTTCAGGTTTAATTAGGTCTTGATTAAATCAGTGTTATGTAATTTAATCCTGTCTGATTGGGACCTTTTCGCTGCTGACATTTTATATTTTGCGTCTCCCTCTTCAGAATAGTATCCTGTCCACCGGTACCAGTCGCAGTCGGACCTCCCCGCTGGCTGAGAGAGCCACGCTCGGCCAGGGCATCCAGAACGGCAAGGACAGGTACGCAGACACACAAATATCAGGTGTGGTTTTTAAAGACGAGGGTAAACAGTCAGAACAGGAACACGCTCCTGATGGTTTGTGAATGAAGCGGCCTCACAGCTGTGTCCGTCACTGATCCCCACATTTTGGCTGGCGCTCGCCGGAGCGCTGCCAGCTGGCTCAGGGAGGGGTAAGCCCTCCTGGACCTGAAAATCAGGCCAAACCTCCGCTAGATTACAGATTACAGATCCACAATGGTCACATGGAGGCCCGCCGGTTGGAGCAGGGAGTTCGAGGGAAACAATCCTTGGCCGGAAAAAAAAAAATGGAATACAGGTTTCCCCTTTTTCTTTTTCTGGATTGGGACACACTCATTTCCTAAATCTAGTTTTCACCTCTCCTCTCTTCCTCTGCCACTTTGAACCTCTCCAGTTCAGACAAAAATAAGGTTTGTCTGCAGTGGAGTCTCTTTAGTTAAAGTGATAGTTCAGATCTTTTAAAGTAGCTTCTGAAGAAATGTTAATAATCATCTTACCTGTTCTAGATAGCTCTTTGAAGGTCTGCAACCTTTACAATGGGTAATACATACAATTTGTTTACAGCCTCAAAATATAACCAACTAATAAAATTAAGATCAACTATTTAGACAACTTTATATACAAACAAACATTAATATTTTTCAATTATTTGATTGTGTAGGCTAAAAGAAAAGAATGGTTATGTACAAGAAAATTATTAGTTATTATGTTAACCCTTTTCAGTTTTTCTTACGTTTGTAGAAAATGATTAAAACAATGAACTCTCTCTGACAAAATTAAAGCTTTAAGTTGGAGCCTTAATGTCTTAAACATAAACATGAAAATAGTTCAGTTTATTCAAGACAAAAACAAAAATTAGAAAGGTAAATCTAATCTGACTGAAAGTTTCATGGATGGGATAAACCGCCTCATGTGACCCCAGAGCTTTAGACCTAAGTGCTGGTCCAACATAAATGTATTGTTGTCTATGGAGGTTTATGTTTTTATTATTCAATCAAACAAAAAAGCAGTTTCAATCAAAAAATTTAATTTCAATCAAAACATATATTTCAATAAAAAAAAATCATTAAAAAAGGACAATAATATCAACCAATTAAAAAAAACATTATTTTAACCAAAAAAATGATTTCAACCAAACAAGAAACTCAGAACATGAACATCTGGGGCGGGGCCTAAGGAGGAATTATGTAAGACGTGTCCCTGTTGGTTAGTGTGGACTGATGCGATTTCCTTCAGTCCACATTAACCAATAGGGCAGTTATTATATTATTATTATTGTTATTGTTATTATTATTATTGTTATTATCATTGTTGATTGATTGAAGTTACTTTTGTTTGATTGAATAATAAAAACCAAAAATCACCTCCATAAAACCTCTTAAGACAACTCAAATCTCAAAAATATATCAGTTTGTGTGAATGATGGGTTATAAAGCTTTTATGTAAATGTTGCATTATACTGGTATTCTATCAGAATTGTCTTTCTATTCCTACTGGAAGGACCCCAGGCTGCACTAAAAGTGCTACAGCTAGCTGCTGCTGCTATTTGTGCCTGCAGCTAATCATAGCATTCTGTATGAATACCTGTGTAAGGCAACATTAAAGACAGTAAATTCTTTGAAATTGGAGTTAAGACGACAGCAATACAGTTTGCTCAGACTAGCCGTTAGCTCGTCAGTCTCTGAGTCGAACCTTATTTCTGTGGACCGAGGTCGTTCAGGGAGCTATCTGCAACCGTTAAGATATTTATTGTTAACAACCAGATTTTGAAGGTCTGAACTATGAAAGCAAAAACAAAAGGCCTTTCCAATATTTTCAATTTTAAATTCGTGGCACGGATTAGACCAAGCACTAAATTCTGGGATTACGCAACTCCTGCCTGTCCACACATACAGCCATGTCTAACCAGCCATTATGCTCTGTGTGCTTCTTCATAAACATTAAACCATCGTTGCAAATGTGACGCAGTGTTCATAATGCTTCATTACTTGTCAGTCTCAGATGACCTCCTTTTGTCTCCAGCAAAGTGCTTTATTTGGGTTATTTGAACGAATTTGACCTGTCTTACTCACTTCCTGGTGCTGCAGAGGTCATCTGAGTCATCATTGCTTTTGTTTTTAATTCTGTGGGTCTGTTAGCCTTGATAGGCTCTGCTAACTTAGTGGTTATCTGCTTTGATTTTAAAGTTGCTTTTTTTTATACCATCGTTGATGCTTTGAAGTTTGGGCTGTTTTACTTGTTATACCCCACCCACCCCTCTCTCTCTCTGTGTTTTCTTTTTTTTTATTGTTCTTAATTTGGTCTTCTTTTATCTGTGTCTGAGCTCTTATCCCTCTGGACCCAAAGTCACACACTTTTTTTTTCCTTTGGCGCCTTCCGTTTTCCTCTTGTCTTTATATTAATCTTTCTTATTTCTATTTTCCTTGCCTCTCTTTTTCTAAGAAGATTAGACAGACTTGTGATGGTATATTAACTCTTTCTGGCAATATATGGTCTTGATGCTGCTCTTTTAATGGGCGTTTCTACTAAAACATGTAAACAGTTCATGCACACACATGTAAACCCTGTCAGGTGATTCCATCAGGCTTTTCTAATCCTTGTCAGAAAGAAACTGTTCTTTCCAGCTGTGTGTTTATATTCTGTGTAATGAGCTTTCATTGGTTAAACTCTGGCTGCCAGTTCTCTCTGCCCTGCCTCTGGTACCACTCTCCTCTGTCCCTGACTGTGTTTTTGTTTTTTGTGTTCGGACTAAACCCGGTTAGTGAAATCTGCAGAGCTCCGTAGCGAGCTTTCTGGTTCTAGGAAGTGGTTTTAAATATTTTACAGTATAAATAGAACTTAAAGGTTTGGATTGTGGTGCAAAATGAGGAAGGTTAGAAGAGGAAGAAGTTTGGTGCTTTACACAAGTAACAACGCAGGTCAGGTTTACAAAGCTCAGAGCAACTTTAAAGGCCCAGTTCAGATCTGTTAGTGTTGCTTCTGTGGAAAATAACTACTGAATGTCCTTTTGAATAAACCTATAAAAGCATTTTGCCTCAAAAGTGTGTCAACAATTGCAATTTACAGACAACAAAAAACAAAACGTTGTTGAGATTGGGCTCAATAAACAAACACCAAAACAACTAATAGACACACAAATGCAGAATTATGCAACATATAAAAGCAAGTCAAATGAAATAGGCAGTTGTGACCATTTTTGCGGATTTTATTTTATTTTGTTTTTATTTTTAATTTTTTCTGTAATTGGGCAGTCAGGCACTCCCATCATATAAACATGTTTCAGTCTTTGCATCCATTGAGCAACAGTTGGTGGGCAGGGCTTTATCCAGTTCAGGGTAATAGTCTTTCTTGCAGCTCCTATCAGAATGTGCCAAATGTAACGTTCTGTAGTGAGTAAATCCTTGAATTATGTCCAGCAGAAATAAAAGCGTCCATGGAAAGATTTGTCCTTAGAATATCCTCAGTCTTCTGCTTAATGTTCTCCCTAAACGTCTTAATTTTTGGGCAGTCCCAAAAGATAGGGGGAGTTTCTTAATGTGTTTGTCCAAACTGTAATTTGTGCAGGTTGGAATGTGGGCGGAGTTTGACCAAACCGTGATTTGACGAGTTTTTATTTTTTTACATTTAAATCTTTATTTATTCATTAAAGCAAAAGGTAAAATCTATATAAAATAAAACAGAATAAAATTCATAAATGAAGTGAAACGGAGTGAAGAAATTCGTAAAGTTGAAGTTAATTCTTCAGATCTTTAAAGAGTTCTTCTAGTATTTTATTGTTGCCCTTAAATTCCTCTGGTTTCTTTGCTTTGGACTTTATGCTTTGTCTTTCGTCTTCTTGCACAAGTTTCTCAGCCAGAGGAAAGTGTGTGTACGTTTTTTGTTCTGTTTTGTGTTTTCTGTTAACTAGACTAAAAAAAGAGAGAGATGATGAAAACACAGAGGCAGTTGCCCTCAGTTTGTGGTTCGGTTTCTTTTTGAGGAACCACAGAGATAAAAGAAGACCAACTCTGTTCTGTTTGCTGCACTTCCTGTTCTTCCTCTTGTCTCTCTGCTGTCCCCCCCTCCTCCCTCCCTTACAATGTTTTGATGAGTGCTGCCTCTAACCATACTCCACCTCGCCTCCCCCGCCCGCCCTCACACACCCCCACCTGCCCCCCTCGCCCGCCTGTGTTTGTCTTCATGTGGATGCTGGATCCCTGCGAATGTGTTTGGACGGATGATTCGGGCGGGGCGTTCCTCCTGCTGCTCCTCCTCCTCCTCCTCCCTCCATCCCCCCTCCCCTCCCAGCCTAAACACTCCGGGCTCCCGAGCCTCCACTGCCTCAGCTGCTGCCGTCCTGTCCTCCTCCTCCTCCTCGCGTCCCCGCCACAACAAGTCCCTGTCCTCCTCCAATCATCCATGCCCCTCTGACCTGCACGCACCACGGCCCAGGCAAGTGTCAGTCTTTTGTGTTTCTCAAAACACACACTCAAACACACACGCACCTCCTCAAATCAGCTTTAAATCATCATCATCACCATCGTCATCATCGTCATCATCATCAGTCCTGCACAGAAAGGAGAAAACTGGATAAAGTGAAATGTTTGCTCTTGCTGTTTTTTTCCGTGTTTTTATTTACATCATGATAAACTCCGGCACAAAGATGCAACCTGCTGCCAACATTTTATTTCTCTCATTAATGAGGGAATCGATGTAAGAAGTCTTTTTTTTTCCTCTGATTCATTTAACAAACTGCTCCGCTGTCAGTCTCGTTACGTTTTTGAGTTCACAAATTTCTCTAAATCGACTCAAATCCAAGGGTAAATCTTGAACGACCTTCAAAAAACCGCAAAGAAAAGTATTTTCTTTTTTTAGCGATTACAAAAAAGTTTGAAAAGTAATGAAATTAATGTTTGGTTGATTGTTTTATTGTTGTTACAACACATCTTGGCAATAAATCTTATACCAGGCATCTGATTGACAGGATTTTGATGCACACAACCCACATGCTCAGCTCAACAGCTCATCGCACAAACGCATGTTCCTTACAAATGTGGCACCATTTAAAACTAAAATTAACAGGCTTTTCAATGGTATAAGATTTATTGCCAAGAAACATTGTTACAAAGAAATTTCACTACTTTTTTTTATAAGTATATTTACATAAGTATATTTTCAAAAAAGTAGGGCCGACTTGAGACTTTTGCACAGCGCTGCATTTAATCGTAGCGAGCAGCTTTTCTAAAACTGGCCATCTCAGACCCTGTGGTTACCTAGCAACAGCCAGGAAGTAGACAGCAGAGTTCAGGAAAGTGTGAGGAAGTGTTGACACAACTCGTCTTTGGCCAAGCTGCCACTGTCATGTTGCACTTTTACCTGCTGGACCAAAACTGAACAGTCAGACACTTCAGATCAGGCCGGGCAGGTTTTTTTTTTTTTTTTTTTTTTTGTGTGTGTGTGTGTGTGTGTGTGTGTGTACCTCCACATTTCTGCTGATAAGCAGGTTTTTGCTTTTTAAACCCCTTTTTTCCTGGTAAGAGGAAAATCCTCCAGTTCTTAGAAGACCTATAACGAACCAGCAGGTGTTGAGTTTGCAAACACTTTATAAAAGTTGGTAAGGTGTGTGTGTGTGTGTGTGTGTGTGTACACACACACACATGTTTATATTAATGTGTCTGATCCTGTTTTGAACAAATACTCAACTAAAGAAAGACTTCAACCTGCATTTTAAACATTTGATCAGATACAATATGGAATATAAACTGTATGTTTGAGGCAACGTGAGACTTTGATAGAAGGATCTCATCCTGCTTGTTTTTACACCTTAAACGTTTTTATTTTGTTGTCGTTTTCGTTTGCTGCCTGCTGCAGGGGAGCTTGTGCCACATTTCAATGTGAAAACTAAAATCTTTTCGCTTCATGATGACTTTGAGACACGTTGCCTTTAAAGAAATCCATGATTAGTTGTAACATTAGACTTTATTTAATAAACATATATTTTAACTGTAAAATAAAGACTGTAAAAATACTGTAGGATGTTCAGTTTTTATAATTTTTAAACTAAAAATTTAAAATTAAATTACACAAACGGGGCCATTTTATTTACATGCAAAGCATTGTGGGTAAATGATGACATGGATAGGTCCTTGATGCGAGGCTGCTAGCGAGCTATATCCACCCTGAAGGTTAATCTTGGACAATAT